AAAAACAAAGCGGATATAAAAAACTTGTAGAACAAAATTCAACTCATTTTCCTTGCAACCAACTACATGTACAATGCAGTAAAATTGCTTCAAGCACATAACAAAGGAAAACGCTTGCATGAAATTGTATACAATCCTAATGACTGAAATGTGCATGTGTGCGGGAGTGCACAAGTGTGTAGTAGTGTGTAGGAATGTGCTGGTAGCCATTGTTGAATCCTGCGATATCCTTGCGAACAAGTGACTTAGTACATGCAATGGTGTTATACAAATGTCGACCATGTGTGCGAGAAAAATGAGGTCAATAACAGGTAGATTACATTAAGTAACTATAAGTATTGCAGCTATCAAGTTTAATGAAAATGGTAGGCGTGATGATGTGCTGATTGATACAAATCGCTCACATTAACGCTCGTCAGTATAGGTCAACACAGTATTATTAAAAATAACTAGATATTTTTTTTTAGAATTTTTTATTTCTGAAGAGAGGTTTCTAAAACTAGTAGATTAAAATCAAAAAGAAAATTATTTTTATATTATTTTAATTGATTGAATTTTTGACTGATCAGTAGTCTTGGAAATAATTCTTGTATTTAATTATTCGTAAATAATATTTTGAGACTGCAAGTAACAAAGATTGATAAAAAAATATTTTTTTTTATTTTTATTATTTTTTATTTTTATAATCTTTGTTTTTAATATTTTTTATTTTTATTATTTTTTATTTTTATTATTTTTTATTTCTATTATTTTTTATTAATATTATTTTTTATTTTTATTATTTTTTATTTTTATTATTTTTTATTAATATTATTTTTTATTTTTATTATTTTTTATTTTTATTATTTTTTATTTTTATTATTTTTTATTTATTATTTTTTATTATTATTTTTTATTTTTATTATTCTAAAAACGAATAATTTTTTATTATATTCCATTTTTATTTTTTATTTATATTTTTTTTTATTTTTATTGTTTTTTATTTTTATTATTCTTTTTTATTATATTCTATTTTTATTTTTATTTTTTTATTTATATTATTTTTATTTTTTTTTATTATCTTTATTTTTATTTTTATTTTTTTTTATTTTTGTTTTTTATTTTTATTATAATTTTTTTTTATTTTTTTTTTTGTTCTTATTTATTTTTATAATTTTTTTATTTTTTTTTTTTTATTTTTTTATTTTTATTTTTTTTATTTTTTTATTTTTATTTTTTTTATTTTTATTTTGTTTTTATTTTTATTTTGTTTTTAATATTTTTTATTTTTATTATTTTTTATTTTTATTATTTTTTATTTTTATTATTCTTTTTTATTATATTCTATTTTTATTATTCTTTTTTATTAAATCCTATTTTTATTTTTTTATTTTTATTTTTTTTTATGTTTATTTTTTATTAGTTTAATTTTTTTTTTATTTTTTTTATTTTTGGTCATTTTTATTTTTTATTTTTATTTTTTTTTTATTTTTATTTTTTTTTATTTTTATTCTTATTTGTTTTTTATTTTTATTTTAGTTCAAACCCGATTTATTTCATTCTTATGACTAATCTTATAAGTTAGCTTATGGACATATATATAAACTACATAATATTTATATATTAATTTATTATTAATTTTTGACTTGAATGCCAATATATTTCTAGTCTAGTCTAGATTAGCCTTACAAGTTAGCTTATGGACATATATATAAACCATAGAATATTTATATATTAATTTATTATTAATTTCTGACTTGAATGCCGTTTGCCTTAAATGGTATAAAATACCAGTTAAACACCCTGTTTGATAACCTATTTACTAATAGGAGCATATTATGTATTATATATAAGAAATCTACTTTAATTTACAATGGATTAATGTAAATTGAAATAAAATGAAGAATCCAATCTGAAATACTTCTAGGTTACACAATTGCAGGTGTTAAGTATGCAAATATCTAAATTGTTTTACTACAGACTTTCGCTCATTGAATTCAATTCGTAATGAAAGCACAATTTTAGTGCCATTCATGTAATTTATTGAAACGAAAATTTTTCGTTTCCTTTGTAGAATCCTGTTTCCTGTTAGCATTTTCATTTTTACTTTAATTTATACATATTTTTTTTATTTTTCTGTGGAAATTTCTTCACCAACATTTCAATCCACAGCAGCCAGAGAAATAGGATTTTTCAGTTTATTTTTTATTTATTTTCTTTTGCTTTTTTTTGCTTTTTTTTGTTTTTTGTTTTAATTTCTTCTCTTTTTTGATTTGTTTTGCAGCAGTCATTGCTTTTGTGCTATTTACAAATGTCTTGCATATTTCTTATCCTTTTAACAAACAATTCAAAAGAAAATGTCATTAAGGATATTTCTATAAAATAACAGCAACGAGTAAAATTGTCGAAGAAGAAGAATAAAAGAAGAAAAAAGCCATGAACATTAAATACTTGACATACACAAGTTGTGTTTGCGGCTCCAAGTGGAAGAAAAATAACTAAAATGACACCAGGAACGGTGGTAACAAAAACGTCACTACCACGTGCTAAGTGGTGGCTGTAACGTAACGTTTAAAAACATCATACTCTCAACTATCACGTAAGCACAGCAGAATCTTCAACACAAATATATATTTATGTTAATATATATACTTAAGGACTTGAAATTCACTACATAAATAAACTAAAGGACCATGAATGAAAATGCGTTTTTACTGTAAGGATACTGTAAATAATAAGAGAGAAATCTCTTCAACAAATATAAATTGCACTTTTCTATGACGAAGTGCAGAAAGAACAGAATTTGGCTTCACAAAAGAACAGTTGACAGCAGGATTTAAAGGATTAACATATATACATTTAAGGTTTGATTGAATTTTACTGAAAAGCTTACTTAAACTGATTTCATTGATAAGCAAGAAAAGAAAAATAAATTTTAAATAATTTTTAACCACTTAATGCATATCTTTATTTTTAATTTGAAAATATTTAAAAGAGGTTAGTTAATTTAATATAACTATATATTAATGACACCTTATCTATATAAAAAGACAGTAGTGTTTCATAGTAAAAAAGATTTTAACTTTAACTATTTCGTGTGTTCTCAAATTCTACCACCTATGGTACCGTTGTTTCACCACAGGACTCTAGGTTTTATATGTTACCCTCCTAATGATTTGGACTCAAATAATCACATTTTTCATGATATGGTCTGCAACTGGCATTTAGTTAGTTGAAGCTGTCCTTCCACGGATAAATAAGATAAGTCATTTAAGCTTTAAAATTTTTTAGCAATTTATTTTAAAATAATTAAACATCAACATAACTACACAATGTCCTTTTTATGAAATTGTATTTTAAAGTAAACCACATAACAAAAACACGCAGCAAAATAAAATGCAAGACACAAAGGATAACGATGTTTTTGTCGTGGCTAACATACAATGACGCACTTTTTATTTCCTTGAGTTTGAAAACCATTTTTCAAAGTACATCGTATAAACATATTTAATTTGTGGACTACTGCAGTTGATAGAAGATTTATGTCTTAATATATTTATAAGGCAGAGCATTTTTAACATCACAATGAATTCGTTTTAAAAATCGTGTCAACATTCAAAGGATATGAATTTTTCAGTGTGATTTTAAGGATACGTGGCTAGAAGACAAAATTGCATTTGAGAGAAGTATATTTATGCAAGCAATAAGCGAGATTGTTATGTGCACTTTAAGATAAGATATTTTCTTTTATTTTAATTTTACAGAAAAAAAAAAGATGTGAGGATATAAAATATTTTGAGACAAAAAAAAATAAATGTATTTTTCGTCCTGCAGATGTACTCGTACATTCCACAAGCATATTTGTTCCATTTTCATGAGCATGCACATGTCGATGTACGCTTAGTGTTTACGCTCAAAGAATGATCTTCTGCAAAAGCAATTTAGGCAAAGTAGACTCAAGAGATTTCATAATGGATATGTTGCAAAAGGGAAAAGAAGTTATTTATGAGGATATAAAAGCTAAATTTGAAGAAAAAATTACTGATTTCAGACTGCAAGATGAAAATTTTAATAACTTGAGAGTACTTTGCTCTGGTGGATGACATCTTGAATTACTGCTTAAAAAATTATATTATTTGGCTATAAAATTAATAATCTACTTATATTAATGCATATGTAAGATAATAATGAACCTAAACACGCAATCAGCGTTTCGTATATTAACATTTGTCAGAGATTCTGCATTATTCTGTAGCAATAGACAATATATTCAGCAGCAGAATAGGATATAAATTTTATCTCTTAATGGAGATTTTTTTAATATATTTATTTTTGAGCATATGTAAAATTTTTATTATTGACGAATTCATTATTCTGTTATTATAAGTTTTAACAAGTTCTTGAACGCCGAAGTAAATATCTGACTATACAATGGAGTTTAAGTTAAAGTAGTTAACAAATCAATGGTTACGTATATTTGTGAAAGGTTTAACTGCCCATTGCAGCCCGTCATACAATACAATGATCACCACGTTCAACCATATGTCTTAGACATTTAACTTTATAGGAAAATAAATATGATATGTCACAGTTTACATAAGAACACATATACCTAAGTTCGAAGTACCACATTATGAACTGTCACACATTTTTGAAGTAACTGGAGAAGTGAAGCAAGCTATATAAATAGCTTTCAGTAAACGATAAAATGCGATTATCGTAGTGTTAGAAAGGTATCAAATTGAGTATTTGAATCATGTTCCGAATATATGGATCCTCACAGCAAAACACGCAATGAATACTTTCAACCTCTACATCACAGTAGCGCAATTGGAGATATATGCCTGAAAAACTAACGACAATAGATCCCAGTGTAACTTTTGGATCGCCGTTTTAATCTAACCTATTCTACTAAAATATTTTCAATTTCAAAATGAAATCAAGTTTTCACAGACAAAAGTAAAAAAAGTATTTGGAAATTCAATTCTTAAATTTTATTATTAATATATTTTGTATACAGTTAGTTACAGAATATCTCTTCTCACAATCAAAATTTTTGTTTCTAAAAATTTGTGATCCATTTTATTTTGAAAGAATTTATTTGAATTTGTAAACATGGATGTAGATATGAAGGATGGCGAAGCACCGCAAGCTGAAACCGAGGACGAAATAGTTGATCGTCTTTTAAAATCTTTGGAGACAATTCCAAAAGGAAGTAATAAGCAAATCATTTTAAAGTTAGCAAAAAAGGAAAATGTAAGTTCATCCAATCTTAATATTTTTTTTACGTTGTAAAAGATATAGTGAAAGTTTTGCTAAAAAGTAGTTAAACCAAGATTGCAAAAGTGATAGTTCAGATAATAAAGAATCGAAAATAACCTCTCTAATGTGCTTACCTGTCATGTCGAGTAGCACCATAAGTAACAATTGATACTTAATTAAATATACAATTAATTTTAAAACTGAAAAAAAATTTTGTTTTCTAATATTTATTAATTATGTCACCAAATTAGATAATCTGATCAAAAAATTTTATCACAGTTAAAAATTTTATTTTTATTCAGTTTTGTTTTTAATTAGATTTATATATATTATTTTAATTTTAACTTTAGTTTCTCAGTTGTATAAAATAATTGTCTCAGGTCGTACTTAACACTGCCTATGTATATGATATATAGAAAGTTAATAATTTTAATGCTAACCTATTTGTTAATTACAGTTGCCCCCTCGTGTCGTAGCTAGAGCACTTATGCCTAAGCGTTACCTCTCTCGCAAAGTTAAAGAAGATGACAGTGATAATGAAGAAAAGGTAGTACCAATGGAACAAGACTGCGAGGGAGATGTTTTAGCGCAAAGTGGTGGGCAGGATGAGGTACAGAATGGTGCCCCTAACCCACCTTACACTTTTTAATACACATAAATAAGTGCTGAGGTAAAAACACTATATAACAATAGAACTGTTTTGCCAAGCGTAAATGTAAAGTTAGTCAGTTCTCTTAATAACGTGCTCAAATCATTTTTACCTCAGCATTATAAAACTAATTATACGGAAGAGCACGATAAGTCAAACTATAAAATATGATCGGCAAGTAATATATAATATATATATAATAATAATATATAATAGTAATATATAATAATAAGTAAAATATTTCGACATTTTTAACAGCAATTTTAAGAACTTAATACAGAGCCTTTCAATATTGCTAAATTAATGAAGTAGAACTCTTTTTGCCTTGATAAGGAAAGGACGCTATAACACGGAAAACTTGGCTTTATTTAATAAAATTAAAAGGGTATATAAGTTATATGCATTTTATTAAAATATACTTTTTTAAGAACTATTTATATATCAGTTTTTCATTTTATTTTTCTTTTAGTTTAAAGCGACCGTTTACTATGAAATAAAAAAGGATATTAGATTGCAAAAGTCCCAACATAATTCCAGGTAAAGTTAAAGAGCAACGTATTCGTTTTTGTTCTCCTTTTATTTAAGAAATCTAGTAATATAACTATTTCGAGTTAATGTGCTGTATTTAAGTAAAATATTTTTTAAACATACAAACGTATAAGTTTTAAAAATGTTTTTTCTTATTACCAGCAACTCAATGAGTATAGTGAGACCTATTGGATTTACTATAACACAGAAGGATGATACGCTATTGAGGGACTGGAAGTGTTCAGAAGAAGCAGTTAAGAAAAAACAATTTTGAACGGTTTTTAAATCATTTTGTTAATTAAAATTATTCTGAAGTATGCTAAGTTTGGATTTAAACATTCTCTACATTCAAGCCCAAATTGAAGTAATACTGTTCAAAGAATGTTAGTTTAGTCATCGATATTTAGTTTTCAAGCGGAGCGGAGTTTAGCAATCATATTACTTAATTAGTTACAATACTACTATATATACTAATTTGTTATAAAATATTAAAAAAAATTGCTTAAATATGCATAGAATGTCGTTTATATACCTGTACTGTTCCAATCAACAAGCTGTCAACTTAAGAAAACTCAAAGATTAACAATTGAGATAAGATTACAATACTTGCAATACTAGACAGGACCAATTCTCACTTGAAACTCGAGTGTTTTTTGAAATAATCACCTTCTCGTGAAAAACTTGAGGTTCAATGCAATTAACAAGATTCGTGACGAAACAAGTCGAACTGAATGAAAGTATAGAATGCATATAGTCGTATGTAACAGTCATACGACTAGCTGAATAGAATACTAAGTGCAGCAAAATCTATTAGGTGCGTGACGAATCGAGCCAAATTGAATGGAGGACGGATGACCATACACATGTAATATAGTCATACAGCCGGTTAACTAGAATACAATGTTTTTAGTACTTCTGTAACACTATATAACCCAACGACACTCAACGGATAATGTAGTAAATAAAGTAAATATGCTTTAGTAATTAACAAACTTTGTTATAAATTTGTTCAGTATTTTAATAATTTCCAGTAGGTTTTTTTTTAAATTGTTCCTTGTTCTTACCTATATCTTTGCTTTAAAACACATGGCAACTATTTTCAATTATAATTTAATTTTTCATATAAATACAATCAAACATAGATACCTTTTTTATTACATTAGTTTAGAAAAACTGCCGAACAAAGCAATTTGTACCAAGAGTTTCACATACTCCCTCCTACCTGCTCACTTAAATTGTAACCATGTTGTTCCCTATAAAATTGACTCTATGTCAGTCAGTCACTCATAAGCAAACTTAAAACGCCCCTGGGAAATTTCCATATAGCAACATTTTTATTACAAGGTACAGCCGAGCAAGGTGTGCTGAAGAAACTAATAAGCCGTAGTGGGGAAATACACACAAATTGCACAAGATTGTGCAATAATCAACAAGGAAGCAAGGAACCTTGCAAAAAATAGTTATTTTGCGGCAGGAAAAACAATAAACATTTACTCAAGCGCTATTGAATTTCAATATTGAAACCACCAACAATTTTCTGTTGATACAAGAAACCATTGGGGAATATAATATAATAAAATATCGAAAATATTCGAGTAAGTGTGGCACATGAATTTTTGTCCAAGAGTGGATAAAACAGATAAATTCGGATATGCTCCTATGTTAACTATTATGACACATATCACAAAATAGGATATATATAAGTATACGAGTATACTGGTAGTAAAACTGAACTACCTACTGGACTTAAATATAATAAAAAGTTTTCCCTAAAATAAATTATAGTTTTATAAATTTTATAAAGCAGCTAAATAAAGCCAGCCATAACATTTCCGGCGTTTATGTTAACTACTCTATGCCAAATATAAAAGCCAGCTATATATAAAACATGGGAACAAGGATAATAGTAACTCATGCACATGCATTAAATATTTAAATGGCAATTGCGCAAAATAAACAGAGAAGTGCAGTTGTGAGACGTGAGACGTGAGTCATAAAGTAGGTATAGGAATCATAAATGGACCGGCAGGAGGAGAAGCACCGTTCTAAATGCTACCGGGCTGCAATTTAAACAGTATCTGTGGAGAAGTGATGCTGGCGGAAAAACGTATAAAAATGAAATAATATCGTTTTTGTGCAAGTGTTTACATAAAGAAAAGCGGAAGTACGTAAAAGCGCAAACAAGAAATTTTAAAGAAATAAAAAACAAACAAAACAAAAGAAAATGGCAGCAAATATTTTTACAAAGATAAAAATTTAATTTTATATTTTATATCTAAAAAAGAAGTGAAGTAAACGACTACACAACTAAACTAAAGCCAATGCTTTAAAATAAAACTCAAAGTAAATATTTCGCACTGCTAAATAAACACAGTGTAATATCGGAATAGTTATGAGTATAAAAAGGATATAAAAATCCTGGGAAATCTGTTTATAATAAAAATAAAATAAAAATGGAATTTCTAAGAAAGCAAAGGTAAGCAAACAAATACGATTGCAGCAAAACGCTGTAAGAAAAACGTTTGAATATTATTTTTCTTTGTCTATTTTATTCACTTTTAATAAAAAAAGCATAAAGACAAATATAGAAATTCATGTTAGTGCACTTTTTCTGCTTTATGGTAAGACTATTTCAAAGGATAATGCTTTCTAGCGAAAAACGGATTTTTCGCACGGCAACAACAAATGGAAATAACTTTATTTGAAACAGTTTATAGCCCAAAGTCATATATGTAATGTTTTTACAATTTATAAACGCCAGTTGTAGCGCATATTGCGCTATAAAACAACTGAAGTATACCGGGGCTCTTCGCAATAATATCTAGAAAAAATCAAATAACTTAGCTCAAAGCACCTGCGGTAAAATGATTTGTGTCTTGAAAATGAAAGAACACTAGTTACGATACACCGGGGCGTATGAGTATTTTTTTAAATAATTGCCGCATAAGCGACACTTAAATAATTGCTTTGGAAATAAAATCTATTAAAGAAAGAATAAAATGATAAATTGAAATCTATTAAAGTTTAATATTTCTATTCGAAATGGATCTTTTGTTATAGGATATAAAATTTTTAACTAAAAATTAACCAAATTTTGTTCATATGTGTTTAATTATTTTCTTATTATTATTTCTTATAAGAATCTTCTATAAATTTCTTATATTGGCTCTATTGGACATCTATCAAATAAAGTTTATAAGATTTACAAATGTAAGAGCAGTATTTCAAAGTAGGAAGTAAGTATTGGTGCCCATTTGCAACAGTTTTCAGAATGGCACATCAAGCAGGAATAAACAGGATCTCTCTATCCCCAAGGCAAAATGAACACTGTCCTACGGTGTAAGCCTTTTAGCGGCGACAATTTTATACAATTTGTATGTTAGATACTAAGTTGCACTTATTTTTTGAAGATAAAAAAAAAGCGATACTGTTTCTTTTTCAGTATTTTTTGTATTATATTCAAACGCTAAAAAGAAACTACTATAATTGATGTAATATACAGAACTGATTTGAAATTAAAACTCTTTTTTGTAAAAAGAGTAACATTTCATCGTATCTTAACATTTTTTCTTAAAGCTGTATGCAATTTTGAAGTTTTTAAACTTTAAAAATGAAATATTTATGTATAATTATTTAATTACCAAAGAATGCTTTTAAAACTCACGAAAAAAATCCATTAAAATAATGGAAATAAAAATAAAAAGTTATGACCCATGAACAAATATTTCACATGCAATAAAACTTCAATTTAAACTTGAATAGAAGCTTCGGTGCAAAACTTTTACCAAAGATCCTATATAACACATGAATTTCACAACTTCCGAAAATTTTTCAAATTAAACTAAAAAAAATTTATTGAAAAACCTCGTAAACTTGCTGTAACTTTTAGCACTTAGTATTATTTTTCTATTTCTTCGCCCATAAGAAATCACAAAGCAAAAATGGTAAATTCACTCAATATATCGGCCCCTGCCCATTTGGAAGCGATTGCTATTTATGTGGGCTGCAGTCAAATTTTATCGTAGTTACACTCCTACTTTTTAAGTACAACTACCCTACCTACAAAATAGGTGGTTCCATACAAAATCCTGAAAAAAAGTAATACAAAACAAAGTACAATAATTTGCAATGCAACCAAATTCTTTAAATATTAAAAAAAAAAAAAAACACCACAAACAATGCAGCCCACGAACCAAAAATTGGCCCTTGGGCCTTTTAAGCTGTACGCGTCCAGTGAAAAAGGAAGTATGGCGAACTCAGTTCCTTTATTCCTGTCTAAAGGATGGCCATTTTCTATGGTTTGGGGGTGATTTAATGTTATTTTTTATTTTTGTACTATTTTATTTTAATTTTTTTCTTTTTAAGGAATTTATAGCGCATTATTATTCACGCTTTAGAGCTTTTCATTAAATATGCCAGCAGGAGTCAAAGTTTTTTCCTTTTGTAGCCTTCATCACAGCATCTCGTGGTTGACGGAAGCACAATTTTTTCCACTGCAAATTAGTAAAGTTTACAAATTTTTTTAGCTTGCGGTGGTGATATTGTCGGAAGCTGCCACAGACTGAAGCTCAATTAAAAAAAGTTAGTGCAATGTTTTTGATTGTTAATAGTCAACAAACTCCGCAAATATCTTCCGTGCCATGAGAGGAGCTTTTAATAGAAATTTTTACTAACTTGTATCAATGAACTGGATGAAAAAATTGCGCTACATATTGCGTTCATAGGATATGATTGCTATTGTAATGTGTGTAAAAATTTTTAATTATTTCCTTCGTAAGGTAAATTTATCCCATTTTTTAACAAGAGGTTATGCAATTGAGCAGGATTAAACTAAAAGTACTGAAAATTCATTCTCAATTTCATTTAAATGACTAATGGGATAAAATACAAAAGGCAAAATTTTCTTCAGGGTTGCTAAGTTTAAATATAGATGAAAAAAATAAAAGAATAGAATAAAAATCTATAAATATGTCTTGTTAAAAATTTTATTCTGCATGAAAACGGTGGCTGTGACAAAAATAAATATTTTTTAGTGAAGGTCTCTACTAACATTGCATCCAAGTTCAACACATTGGACTCTAAACAGACATTTCAATATAATGCGCCCATTGAAATTACAAACGCCCCCATTAAAATTTCAAGGTAGCAATTAAAAGTATATGTTTGGTTAGAGTTTCTTTTTTGGGAAGAATCAAAAAACTCTGTCTAACACCTATTTAATGATTTGGATCACTGCACCCAGTTGGAAAATGCA